GCCACAACTTCTCGATGTTCTCGTTTAATGTGAGACACGACTCGTCTTTGGTTTGCAAGAAGTTCTTGATATTGAGATGAAGTAGTTTTCCGCGACTCAGTATATTCTTCTGGTAGTCTCTGAAGCCCTGTTCCCCCAATTGACTGGTTTTCAATTTCTTCCACTTATCCAAAGCGACGACTGATTGGACGGACATCGTTGAGCTGAGGATTGTGGTGACACTCGGGTAATACGACACGTGATTCAAGTCATGGTCTTCGCACCTCTTAATCGATTCAAACAATTCTTTATAATTAGTCTTCATTTGCGAAGAGTCCATGTCTTCATCCCTCACGAGTGGGAAGCTATCGATCGCACAATTGCTTAGTATTTGAGCTAATTTTAGCTGAGACTCACTCTTGAGTACAGATTTCGATTTGATTGTCGTATCTGTCGATAGAGTCCTTGCTTTAAGAGCGATGTCCGAAGTCTTTCTTATATTCAAAGATGGGATCAATTTGTGATAATTTGAATGCTTTTGAAGCAGTGGTTGGAAAAGAGTTTCATTTGTGGTGACTCCCGATGTATTCAACACTTGCCATGACTTAGAATATCTTGAAATTGTCAACAAAATGCTTGACCTCTTAAGTGACATCATACTGGATGTGATGATAAAGTGTTGGAAGAGTTGGAAGTGTTTAAAGAGACAAAAGTTGTCAATCAATTGCACACAAAGTGTTTGCAATGTTTTGAAAGTCGTCTGAAAGTGTGTCACGTGTTGTGTTCATTGGATGTGATGATAAAGTGTTGGAAGAGTTGGAAGTGTTTAAAGAGACAAAAGTTGTCAATCAATTGCACACAAAGTGTTTGCAATGTTTTGAAAGTCGTCTGAAAGTGTGTCACGTGTTGTGTTCACAACCAATGGTTGCCTTCAAAGCCATAAACAGTCTCTCATTTGACGACTTCTTCGACACCAAAACAACTCTTCATTTCATTCAAAACAATGTCTTATTTGAAGACATTTCTGAGCCATTCGTTCAGCAAATTGGTTCCCAAGACATACATTTGTGGTGGAAGTGCCCGCCTGTTGAGTGATGTCTCCTTCGTGCACCGCGAGACTGATGTCGACTCCAAGAACTTTGAATTCAATGCCGACAACAAAAAAGTATTGCTTTCCATGTCTTGAATGACCACTCATTTGATAGTTTGAGTGATAATGATGTGATTGTCTGCCATATAGAGAGCGGAAGCGATTGTCTCGATATATCCGGAAGGGTTCAGAAGCGCTGCCGTAATACCACTCCTGGATTTGGCTCAAAGACAGTACGGATGGTTGCCATTGAAGGCCATGAACTATGTGGCAGACTATCTGCAAATGCCACGCATGAGGGTCTATGAAGTGTCCACTTTCTACACGATGTTCAACAGACAACCCATTGGCAAATACCACGTCCAGGTGTGCACAACCACTCCCTGTATGCTTAGAGGCGCTCAAGAAGTGTATGAATACACGAAAGAGTTGCTGAAAGACGAGAAAGACTTCACAGTTATTGAAGTCGAGTGTTTGGGCGCCTGTGTTAACGCACCTATGATTCAGATCAATGATGACTACTATGAGGATCTAACCAATGAAGATGTCAAACAAATTATCGCTGATATTAAAGCCGGCAAAAGACCAAAAGCCGGTCCCTCAGCCCAAAGTGGGCGACTGGCCTGTGAGCCCAAAGGAGGCCTCACTTCACTCACATCACCCCCTCCTGGGCCGGGATTTGGTTGTCGTTCTGATCTGTAGTTTAATTATAATACTGTATAGACTTAAGACTAAATAGGTTTGTTTTAATTGAATAAAAATATATCAATCAATACAAGACTTAGTTATCATTGATTAGTGACATAATTGTAGATTCAAATCAATCAGTATTACAATAATTGTGTGAAAGACTATACGGTATTATCACGTGTTGGCCGTAAAATATTCTTTAGCGAAACGCACGGAATCTAAGCGAACATTAAATAGCGGATGAATGGGAGCCTAAACCAGAAATCAACGAATTTAGTCACATTTCACTCATTACTCTATCAGTTGATCCAATACTAACCACTTTATTCTCTTGTGGGCCGACAATCAATTGACTCGACAGAGAATTTTGTGCGATTGATAGTCCGGACAAACAATAGCAGGTGTGATAATAATCACGATTTTTGCCCGGTTTGTCGATTAGACCTCCGCTCGCCTCTTGACAACAGCACAATAGGTATTCCTGTAGTGCTCTTTGATTGAACAACCATTTATTGGCCGGAATTAACTGCGGATCTGTTCGGTAATT